TATAAAGGAACTACAGCACGGTCACATGACTTCACGTCACCACCGCTAAGCTAAAGGCGGCTAATGTTGGGCTATAAAGGAACTACAGCANGTTTCGCCGTTGAGAGAGTGTGTGTGTGTGAGGAGCTCCACAAATTGGTCCATTGGGTTGTCGTTACGTCACTTGGTTCCCGGAAGAAAAAAATGGAAAAAGAGAAATGTCCAACGAGGCGTTCTGGGGCAGCATAGACAGGACTTCTCCACGCCCTTTGTGAATCAGAGTGGACTGAATGCTACTTCAAAATAAATAGATTTGAGTTGTACAAGTGTTTATCTTGTTTTTCTCTTTATGTATTTGACTCCCCAGTCTTTGGACTACAGCCAAACTAATGTCCATCAACCTCTTCAGGCAAACTGCACCACACTAAATACAGAACATATATCCTAATGTATTGATTTGGAAAAGTTGGAAGATAGACAAGGATCTTCAGCAGGATAATCTCCACACAATGACACCACTTTATGATTTTTGAAGTAAAAAGCTAATGTTGGGCTATAAAGGAACTACAGCACGGTCACATGACTTCACGTCACCACCGCTAAGCTAAAGGTGGCTAATGTTGGACTATAAAGGAACTACAGCACGGTCACATGACTGCACGTCACCACCGCTAAGCTAAAGGCGGCTAATGTTGGGCTATAAAGGAACTACAGCACGGTCACATGACTTCACGTCACCATCGCTAAGTTAAAGGCGGCTAATGTTGGGCTATAAAGGAACTACAGCACGGTCACATGACTTCACGTCACCACCGCTAAGCTTAAAGCGGCTAATTTTGGGCGTAATGACTTTTAGTCGTCTCATTTAGAAACTTGTTTAAGAAACATAGAATATAATTGTATGTGTATTTTTTGTCGTCGAACTAAACGTGTGAATCTCTTCAGTGTGTTAACCACTCACGTTATTTTAGGGGAACCAAAAGTGCTAAAATACTGACTAATTTCTGGATTTTAGGATTTATTACTGCACTAATCAAATGGTTTCTCTTCTGTGTTTATGAATCAAGAACAGATGCGGAAAAAAGGGTTTGACCAGGTTCATATTTTTCTACTCGTAAAGGCCAAAAGAGTCTGAAGTGGACTAAATAACCCTTCAACATTTTTTCCTAAAGGACTAACAGCACTGACGTTTTCTTCCTGGTCAGTTTTAGTTTCCATGAACAAACAATATAGCCTATGTACTTTGTGTTTTGAGGAACCAAATATTATCCTGGCAGAAGGGAAAAGGAAATATTTTTGGATTACTGAAAAATGGATCGTCATGCCTCTCAAGGCAATAACAACTAAGGACTGGTTGCCATACATCTGCAAAGATCATTTTGTCGGTCCTGCGTTATTTAAGAGTCCCACTGATGTTCTTACCTGCTGCTTTCTTCCAGAGAAGGAGACAGAAAAGTGTCCTCATGACTCCTGACAGTGAAGGCATCGACAAAACTTCATGCAACATCCTAATGAGCAGAAATGAAATTCAGTACATAACATATTATAAAACACATTTCTTATTATTTAGGATTATTACTGATGATAGTCTCATAATGAAAGGAGCAACAGTAAGGCCACTAGAAGATTAGTTAAATGACAGAAAATGTCATTAATAATTTCAATATTTTTCAGGTTTTTGCTGCTCTTTTTGTCGTATGTGATGGTTAACGGGATATGTGTATGATTTATTGATAAAGAAAACCTTCCATGTTTTATCAAATACATTTTTTCAACAGCTTTGTAATCCATTTAGGGCAAAACACAAACACAGAAGTCTGCATTTTGTCATTTTGTTAATGCCTGCAAAACAACAACAATAATAAAATAATAGGTAGTAAAACAAGAGAACTTATATAATTTAAAAAAAAGTATGCGTAGATATACGACTAAATATGAATAAAAAACTAAAAATATAAAGAATTATACATTTTATTATTATTTAAAAAATATCAGGATAGAAATAACATCACAACAAATAATAATAAACAAAATTAAATATATAATTTCAAACAACAACAATAATAGTACCAATAGAATACCATATGTACAATACACTAATGATTAGAATGAACACAAAATAATAATGACAATAATAATAACATATTAACTTAAAAATAAAAAATAACAAGAAATAAACAAAAATATGTTAATCTTTCCTTATTTTAAACAACAGTTTTATTATTAATAGAAAAATAAATCTATAAAATGAAGCAGTACATATCACACAACATATTACAATCAATAATACTAATAATATTTATGTATTTAAACTAAATGTACATAATAGTATTAAAAAGCTAGGAGCTGAATCTAATTTCTAATTTGGTTTAAAAAATAAAAATGTGTGACAGAAGAGTACGCAGTGTTAGAGTTTATTCATTCACAAATAAATGATATTAGGACCATGGGTTCCATTTGTTCTTGTATTTGCGGTTAAAGTATATTTAAGTAATCAAAAAAAATAAAAACCCGATCTGAAAACACTTGCAGGATCAAATATGTGGAGAAAAGTTGAACTCACCTGCGGTGCGGAGGGACTGCTGCTGATCCAGCTGCTCACTGACAGGCTGCACTCACCACAACACACCACCCCCTCATTACCTCAACACACACACACCCATCATCACCTCAACACACACACACACACTCACACACACACTCCACATCCTGCAGAATGTGCTCGACTCCTCTCTGTAGCTGAGGTGAAATATTTCTGAGTGGAAATTCATGTTTTTACTCACCGGGGGAGTGAGGGCAGAGTTAAAGGGAGAGAGGGGGGAGGGGCTGAGGGATGGGGTGAGGGTGGAGAGAGGAGGAAGAAAAGGCTTTGGAAACGTCTCCAATGGAGGCCGAAGAGGGAGGAGGAAGAGGGGAGGACCTGAGGAGTCTGAGTGACAGGTGGACTGTTTGGGAGGGAAGTAAAGAGAGGACACACACACTTAATAAATATAATCTTGCATGTGACAAGATACACATTATTCGCAAAATGGCTCTTCTGCGTTATGAAAACGTTTTCTTTTGGTACTCTAAGTACACACACACACACACACACACACACACACACACACACACACACACACACACACACACACACACACACACACACACACACACACACACACACACACACACACACACACACACACACACACACACACACACACACACACACACACACACACACACACTTCTTCTACCCATTGAGACGTTAAAAACAGGGGTTATGTTTTCCCTATTTCACTCAAGACATGATAATAATAATAACAATAATAATAATAATGCATTAGATTTATATAGCACTTTTCCTGGGGCCCAAAGCGCTTCACAAGCAAGTAAAGAAGAAAAAATAACAACAAAAGTAAGAAGTGCTAAGCTAGGTGGAATAAGGGCGAGGGGTTAGAGGTTAAGGAGTAGAAGGCGAGAGTAAAGGTGAGTTTTGAGGGATTTGATGAACTTGAAGCCGTCGCTGAGTTGCAGAGAAAACATTTCATTACGAAGTAACAATACATTCATAAATAATAATACGTTTAATCTTTATAGCGCTTTTCAGGACACACAAAGCTGCTTTACAGAAGTCACATTTAACAAACACAGCTATGAATTGTGACAAGGGGGGATGGGGGTCCGAATGGGGTTTTGAGGGCTTGTTTGAAGGATTCAACCTAAAGGTTGTTTAAGGCTTTCAAGGTAGCCATGTGGTCTTTTTTTTAAATACAAATTTGTATACAATTCATTTGTATGAATAGCGTTTACCCCCACTCGACATTGAATTGTTTAAAGTATGCCTTTCTTGAGAAGAACCCGAATGAAAATGGGATATTTTAAGGACAGCGTATACAGTCTGAATATTTACTGCAGAGTTTTTGGATAATTACCTTCCTGTTAATCTATTAAATAAAGCAAAAAAATAACCCAGATTCACTAACGCTGCATGTCAGAGACTGGCAGTGCTTAAAACATATCCGCATTGACCTATTTATTTCATTTACAGTTGTTTAAAATGTTAAATAATTCACACACACATTGGACCGACATAAGGTTTAGGCTTCTTTGTTTGAGTCACGTTTTTACCTCTGCTAATGGAAAAATACCAGCATTACAATTCAGATTTAAGTGTTTTTAGGGACATGTCGACTAATAACTCTGGGGAAAAACACACTCATGTACCCAGTGTACAATGCTTTCTAAATTGCTTTTTGAGAGTTTTGTTTTTCTCTGCAGATCTATTCCCAACGAAACTTCCAAAAATGTTTTTAATGATGAGCGTTTCAGGACACATTAAAGGGAACAGCTGGGCCCCGGCTCTCCATCCATCCACTCTCAGATGGAACATATTTTGACCCAGTGCTGCAAAACTGGACAGATATTGTTGGCACTTATATTACATGTTACCCCTTTATTGAGCCCATCTGAGACCTTGTGCTTTTGGAGAAGTAAGACGAACATCAGCTGAGGTTTGAAGTCAGGCTGACCTGCAGAACACCAGCTGTCATTTCTGTCTCCACTTATGATAATAAACTTTGGAAAAAAAATGTAGAGCCATGGGTAAAAAATTATGCGTTTCTATGGTGATACAGGCTGCATGTTGTCTGGGTTATTGTATTTATGATCCAGGTATTCAATAATGATTTAAAACATGTGTTTGTCTCATACTGCCAATTTGGGGTTTAGTATCTTTCCCAAAGACACCTTGACTCCTGGGATTTAAACACTAAATAATCAAGAATAATCGCAAGAAAAACAAACTTTCCTCAAGAATGTAAAGGGGCCATATTGTGCTCATTTTCAGTTTCATATCAGTATGTAGTGTCTCTACTTTAAAGAGTCCTCTCCTGCTGATGTGCAGGTGTATATCAGTATGTAGTGTCTCTACTTTAAAGAGTCCTCTCCTGCTGATGTGCAGGTGTATATCAGTATGTAGCATCTCTACTTTAAAGAGTCCTCTCCTGCTGATGTTCAGGTGTATATCAGTATGTAGTGTCTCTACTTTAAAGAGTCCTCTCCTGCTGATGTTCAGGTGTATATCAGTATGTAGTGTCTCTACTTTAAAGAGTCCTCTCCTGCTGATGTTCAGGTGTATATCAGTATGTAGTGTCTCTACTTTAAAGAGTCCTCTCCTGCTGATGTTCAGTGTATATCAGTATGTAGTGTCTCTACTTTAAAGAGTCCTCTCCTGCTGATGTTCAGGTGTATATCAGTATGTAGTGTCTCTACTGGGACATGTCTCCATGCTTTAATGTTCAAAAAGCTCTTTATTGTTCTCGTACTGTCTGTGCTGCAGCACCTCTTTTCACCCTCTGTCTGAAACCAGATGTATATCAGTCTTTAGTGTCTCTACTTT